GTAACCACCTTTTGCTTTGATTACTGCTTCACACACTCTTGGCATTCTCTTGATGAGCTTCACGAGGTAGAGACACCTGAAATGGTTTTCACTTCACAGGTGTGCCCTGTCAGGTTTAATAAGTGGGATTTCTTGCCTTATAAATGGGGTTGGGACCATCAGTTGTGTTGTGCAGAAGGTGGATACAACTACACAGCTGATAGTTCTAATGAATAGACTTATTATGGCCAAAAAAATCAGCTAAGTAAAGAAAAACAAGTGGCCATCAATATTTTAAGAAATGAAGGTCAGTCAGTCTGAAAAATTAGGAAAACTTTGAAAGTGTCTCCAAGTGCAGTCGCAAAAACCATCAAGCGCTACAAAGAAACTGGCTTACATGAGGACCGCTCCAGGAAAGGAAGACCAAGAGTCACCTCTGCTGTGGACGATAAGTTCATCCGAGTCACCAGAATCAGAAATGTCAGGTTAACAGCAGGTCAGATTAGAGAACAGGTCAATGCCACACAGAGTTCTAGTTGCAGACACATCTCTAGAACAACAGTTAAGAGGAGACTGTGTGAAAACAGCTGCTAGGAAACCACTGCTAAGGACAGACAACAAACAGAAGAGACTTGTTTGGGTTAAAGAACACAAAGAATGGACATTAGACCAGTGGAAATCTCTGCTTTGGTCTGATGAGTCCAAAGTTGAGATCTTTGGTTCCAACCACCATGTCTTTGAGACGCAGAAAAGGTGAATGGATGCAGTGTTGTATAAAGTACCTCAAAGTGATACTTGAGTAAAAGTACAAGTATCTTATCATAAAAATACTTTGGTAAAAGTTAAAGTCTTCTCTAAAAATATTACTTGAGTAAAAGTACAAGTATCTTATCATAAAAATACTTTGGTAAAAGTTAAAGTCTTCTCTAAAAATATTACTTGAGTAAAAGTCTTAAAGTATCTGATGTTTGTTTTTTGTACTTAAGTATCAAAAGTAAATTTCTGACACAAAATCTACTTAAGAATTAAAAGTAAAAGTACTGAGTAAAAGTGAGCAGTTACATTTTCCAAAATGACATTTATTGGGAGGTGACTTCTCCAAAAAATATTTTTTCTAATGGCGTGCAGCTGTGATGGGTTGTATACAAGCTAATACAGTGTCAGAATGGTATATATTTATACTTCTCATCCAACCACAATTAAATTCACTCTATCCAGGAGACACAATTTATCAGGATAGTATTTTTTTAAAGTCATAACAACTCAGAATAAAATAGGCGTAACAACTTTCTATTCCTTGTTAAAAAAAATGTAGTGAGATAATTGTGTAAAAATGTAATGAGTAAAAGTAAAAAGAACGCTGAAAAATAATTACTCAAGTGAAGTACAGATAACTAAAATTTCTACTCAAGTACAGTAACAAAGTATTTGTACTTAGTTACTTTACAACTTTGAATGGATGGACTCTACCTGCCTGGTTCCCACTGTGAAGCATGGAGGAGGAGGTGTGATGGTGTGGGGGTGGTTTGCTGGTGACACTGTTGGGGATTTATTCAAACTGAAGGCATACTGAACCAGCATGGCTACCACAGCATCTTGTTATTCCATCCGGTTTGTGTTTAGTTGGACCATCATTTATTTTTCAACTGGACAGTGACCCCAAACACACCTCCAGGCTGTGTAAGGGTTATTTGACCAAGAAGGAAAGTGATGGGGGGGCTGCGCCCTGATGACCGAAACTCAGGTTATCATATGAAGCTAAATGTCCTACCAACAACGCCAAATGTTACGGCCACTTATCGTGCAACAAAACAACCAGTATAAAAGAGACAATATTTATTATTACAAAATAAGAGGATGTGTACTTGAAAAAAAACTATAGATAAACAAAATAAATGAAAAACAATAGAAAAAGAAAATCAAACTCTAAAAAGAACAGCAGGGTGCAGCGACAACTGCAAAAAACAAAACAAAAAATTACCAAAACGCCTATTAAATCTTTGCAATAAAAACCATTCAATTCAGTTAAAAAATATACAAAGCCTACCTGCAGCGTCGACCAACCACACGCCCAGATAGTAATCGTCAGATCAAAAATTGAAGTGTGGCCTTATATAAAAACACCACACAAACACTGACTTACTATAATCAAATTAAAAGAGTTTTTTTCTTTACAACAAAAAACAAACACACAAACCTGATCACAAACAGTGGAACGCGTGGGCCAACACACCTGGTCGAACACCTGAGATTGACAAATTGGCCACCAGCCGAACAGCCTCCCTTTAATGGGAGCTCAAAATGTGGAGGAAGCGACCCCTGGTGGTTCCACCTGTTACATTCAGATTAGTGTGGTAGTAGCTGAGAGTTATTCCAATCACTTATTTGGAGCGTGGTCTTACCTGGTTCTGCATAAYGTGTTTTTCAGGGCTGACTTTTAAACCCGTTTTAGGATGATCTTATTCTAAAACAGGGATGAAAGCCAGGCCTTTAATCCAGTGGTCGTGTGGGCGCGTGTTTTACAAACTTTACGGTAGGTGTTTAAAAAAAAAATCAGTCCTGCGTAAAAGGCGCACCTCCAGCTCGGACAGAGGACGCACCTAAACACCAAGGACAGACCGAGCAGAGGGGCTCCTCCGGCCGCAGCAGCGCGTCCGAACCCTCGGTCCTGCAGATCCGGAGGTGTCGGAGCTGAAGCTCCGCAGAGGCGCTGCTGAAGCTCGCGGGAACCATCATTACAAAACGAGCAGGTGAAAAAAAAAGGTTATGAAATTTTATTTATTTATTATTATTATTACGTAGATGCGGTCAAATTGGACCCAGTTCTGCAGTGCTGAGGTCAGATCGCATGATGTTGTCTCGTGATGAGGCAGCATCAGCATCTGCAGTCCATGTTACCATGGAAACCTCAACCCATCAAAAAAAAAAAAAAGCCAAAGCAAAGTGCTCGTTTTCTAAGGATAATCCGCCACATTGCAGCCCTATTTCTATTCATTTTTATTTTTACTTTTTATTCCAGTTTGTACCATGCCCCTCTGAGAGAGCGCAGATTTTTTCTTTAAAAAAAGAGTCACTTCTCCAGGATGTCCAGCTCCCAAAGAGACGGTGGAGCCCCCACGAACCCAGCAGAAGCCAAGAAATCAGACCTGAGACTGAAYGAGAAGAAGTGCTGTAAGTAATCCTCAGTCCTCCTGGCTGAATGAGAGCCTGCAGGTGCAGCTTGTAACGTAAGACCAGGCTTTTGTTGTCGTTGAGTCCAGGTCCAATTCACAAATGTTTTTTTAATCACCTCTTTTGTAGAGAAGCAATCTTCAATCAGGCTGGGATTCAGAGACYTGGTTTGTCTTTCCGTTGTGAGCAAATAAGAGAATTTTAAAAACACTGTCTGATACAAACCYTTCCATTTGTGTCCAACAGAAAGGCCCTTTGATTTTGAACACAACTTAAATCAGTATCAGCACGCCGTTATTTATTTCATYGTCAGTTACTGCAGATGTAAACGTCATTTACTAAAGATTTGTTTGTCATTTCTTTGACTGTGATGCACATCTCTGCTTGTTGCAGCGTGGGCTTCCTACATGACAAACTCTCCAACGGTGATCGTGATGATTGGCCTGCCGGCGAGAGGAAAAACCTACATGTCCAAGAAACTCACCCGCTATCTCAACTGGATAGGAGTCCCGACCAAAGGTAACTTCTGACACTTTGSTTYATAACGTCTCCCAGCTGTTTTAAACACACAGGAGAGTTTTAACGACATAGACTTTATTTGGACGATGTGTTGAGTATTTGGTGCATATAATTATTTTCAGAACATCGCCACATATAAATATATAATAATGCAGATTTTTTTTGTAAAGATGCTTTGAAGAGTTGTAAATTTCTTCTATGCAGATGATGAATTTGAATAAAATCAAAAATTACTAAAATATATAACTTGTGTGTTAAAAATACATATAGATAGTATTTTATAGCATTATATTCTAAAGTCCTGAGATATTTTATTTTAATTTWGGTATGATTATAACCACATTTATACCCTCATTAGGAAGTGTTATCTTCATGTTTAAGTTGATTTTGATCTCCAGTATGAACATTTTTGTCATCCTACATCAGGGCMAACAGCTGAAGAGCCCAACATACAGCAAATAAAGTCATTATGTGAACAAACTAAGTATTACAAATATCTGCTACCTTTGAAACAGTTTATTTAATTTTTGTTTAATCATAAATACAACATACAGAACCCTGTGTAATAAAAGTAAGCAAAGTAAAGTTTTATTTATATAGCGCCTTTCACAGAAATAAATTCACAAGGTGCTGTACATTCAGGGAARGGRGAGGGGCCAGTTAAGAAACACCCATTCAAGAAGACATACAAGACAAACATGGGGGAACAGGTGAAACCGGTCAGTAGTCATAATTAAACAATATCAAAACTAAAAAAAAATAACACATTGTGCCTCCTATTTAAGAAAATTTTGATATCTCTGATTTTTCAAAATTTCACTTTCATAGTTTTATCTTCAACTGCTTGTAGTTTTAACTGTCTTGAACATTCATAGAAATGTTTTTTAACCAGCTTCTAGCCTAGAATCCGATCTTTCTACCAAAAAAAGCCTATGTTTAAATAAAATAACTTATAGTAATTAAAGTAGACGTCCGGGGGTTTTGGGCTTAAGAGATGAATGAACGTATTCAGTCCGAATCCCAAAGTTTATTCTGGCTCATTAGTTATTATTTAGCAGTTAAAAGCAATATTTTACATCTGGCTGCTGATGCTGAGCTTTATTCATCATGCATGAATTATAAATAAGACTATACAGAAACTCTAATGTCTGAAACAGATGACATTTAGTAGGATCATTTTATAAGTAGTGAACAGGAAGAAGTGTTTCTTTTTTCACTTTTAAATGCTTCATAAACAGTCACTGTATGTGTGTGTAACATCATGTATGCCAAGTTTTCACAGATTCATGAATACGTTGAAGCCTTTTGTAAATATTACTTTTAAGAAGTTTAGTATCTAAAAAAAAAGAAAAGGAAAAGCTGGCATCACAGTGAAAGTGCGTGTTTGATCGTATGTCTGTGTTTTACAGTTTTTAACCTGGGCGTGTACCGCAGAGAGGCAGTCAGAGCTTATAAATCCTATGACTTCTTYCGCCACGACAACGAGGAGGCCATGAAAATAAGAAAGTAAGTCCCATTTGTGCATTTGGACCACCTTAAGCTTCGGCCTCTTTAAAAGATCTTCAGCTCCCATGTGATAATTATATCTATATCTTTGCCATCTGAGTGCTGCAGTTCCTTCACTCAGCAGAAATCCCTGTCAGACTCTTCTGCTGCAACAGTGACTAAGCTCTTTTTGTTTGCCTTTTTTTTTGGCCAAGAGTCAGCCACAGTCAGCCAAATGTTTGTGCTACCTTAAACTGACACACACAGGCACATGTCAAATTATTGTGTTTGTCAAATCCGTACCGAGCTCGTCACAAAGATTACCCTGAAGGAACAAGGCCTTCCTCCCTCGTGGTTTTATCTGAGGGGAAGAATAATTGAAACTGAGTTTGTAATAAGCTCTGCTATCATGAAAATGTTCCGGGCTCCTGACAGCGTTCCTCTGCTGAATTGTGACCCAGATATGAAACAAGCTGCTGCTGTCACTCTCAAGGTGAGGCACATCCTGAAGGGCATGGCACGGCTCTATAGCCTGGATCCAACAGGAACAGGAAACGTGTGCGAGATTTTTCTCATTTTGGTGTCGGAAGTATCAGCTGGCTGGTATTAGAGATATATGATTAGAGACTAACCCCATACATACTGTATTTCKTTCAGTTTTTGCCACTTAGGGTAAATTATCTGCATATGTATAAGCCTGAACAGATATTATATCCAAACTCGCTTATTGTCAAACGTTGCATAAAGTTCAGGGCCTCTGGAAAACTTGTTTCAGTGATTGTTCTGCCTCCCCTCCTGCAGGCAGTGTGCTCTGGTCGCTCTGCAGGATGTGAAGGAGTACCTGACAGAGGAGGGCGGTCAAATTGCAGTGAGTCTTCTGTTTGAGCATCTTGTTTATTTTGAACGTTTGTAAAATATCTTGAACARAATCACATTTGGCGTTAAGGCCAGGGGCGGAGCCAGGGGGTGGCCAGGGGTGGCCATGGCCACCACAGACAAATCTTTGGCCACCCCATTGGCCACCCTGCTGTACACACCTCTTCCACAGTGAAACAACTTTTAGGGGTGTAATAACCCTCCTGAACAGTTGGTGGCAGTGTTTAACAGTTTGAAACATCCCCAAGCTCAAAGAAGTGACAAAAAAGTGATTGTTTTCTTTATGTACAGAACATATGCCTATGTAATCTGACTTATGATGACAATTTTTTTTTGTCACCATGACACAGTGTCATTTTATGTTCTGAAGGCTGCATGATGCTCTGTGACTTTTGGTTAGGAGTAGACCTATCACTAAATCAGAAAAAGTGAAATGCCCCTTTAAATCCACTGTCGGTGATTATCAGTATAGCATCTGTTTATTGGGTAAAATTATTAATATTAGTTTTAAACATGCAGTTGGGGGTCATCATTGTTTGGCACAATGACGTGTTAAAATCAAAAATAAACCAATAAACAATATAAAAGTAAAAACCACCCCCAGAGTCATTAGATATGATAAATTGTTTCACATTAATTAATATTATCTCAGCTAAAGCAGTGAGTTTAAAAACATGATAATGAAACTAGTTCAATGAATAATCTGTCTCTGAAATAATTATTAAATCAAGTGTTTATTTATGTATGTAAAAGTATGTTTAWCAACCTGGTAAAAGACACTAGAATGCAGWAAATGACATCTATTTCATCCAAAATTTTCTGGGGGAGGAACCCCAGACCCCCCAACAGCCCCCCCCCCCACCCTTTTTAAATGGTTCTGATGCCCATGTTTAAAAGGTAGTCACTGCCTGTATAAGGACATAAGTGACAAAAACACAAAGATGTGCAGAAACTTTCAGGAAAAAAATGATGTAATTTTCCTGGCCACCCCTGTGTGAGTAGTGGTCCCAGTCTGGCCACCCCTGAGAAAAATGTCTGGCTCCGCCACTGGTTGAGGCGGTCTTTGTTATGAGAAGCACTTCACATTTTGCTCTCTTCTCTCAGGTTTTTGATGCAACAAACACAACAAGAGAGCGACGGGATCTTATTCAGGAGTTTGTGATGGAGAACGCCTTCAAGGTAAAAAAAATAATAATAATAATTACGTCCTCTTCTCTCATTAGTGTTTAAAAATACAGACAGTTACCTTGAACCGTGTGAAGGCTAACCTGTGCTTAAGATTGTTTTACATTAATTTTATGGTGTGTTTTTAAATACTCAAATGTGCTATTTATTGTCCTTTTCTTTTGGCTCACTTATAATACAAACATTAAAATGTGTAGGAGTGTTTCTTGCAAACTGACAAACCGAYGTGACTCTTTATTTTTCCAACAGGTGTTCTTTGTTGAGTCGGTGTGTGACGATCCAGAGGTCATCGCTGCAAATATTCTGGTATGATTTGATTTCTTGTCTGTAAGATTTACCGCTTTATAAACTGCTAAAAGGCCCTGTCACACTATGACGTTTTAGACAACTTATGCCAACTTGTGAAAAGTTTGAAGACATCCACATTCAAGGTGGAATAAAAAAAATCAACTGGAAGCTTGTTTTAGGCATTTATATACTGTAATGCTAACAAAATGATTGAATATCCAGCCGGTTTGGATGTTATCAGTCCATTAAATGGACGTARTTAGYGGTTATCAGTCCCATAGAATGRCTTGAGACTGCCCGACAGTGCTCCCTAGTGGGTTACCAGTTGCCATTTACTGCCGGAGTCCGGTCTACTTTATCGTAGCCCATGTCATTTTTCTCTAAAATTAACCTTAGTGGCTTTATGCCTCATACTAACCAGATTGCATAAAAAACCTCAGTGGTTTTATGCCTCATATTAACCAGATTGCATAAAAAACCTCAGTGGTTTTATGCCTCATATT